TATATATATATATATATATATATATATATATATATATATATATAAAAAGATATATAAATATATATAAAGATATCGCAATAAATTGAGAACGTTTGTAAGATGTGCACAAAAATTATTTTATTATCTAACACTATTTTATATCGAAGTTATTCATATTATATATTCTCATGGAGACATTTTCACTTAATAATATCGACAAGTAATGGTTAAAATAACGCAATTATACCTTATTTTGGAAAATGTCCATTTTTGTGTTTTCGGATTCTTCCTTTATTGTTTCGGACGTGATTGATTTCCAAATAATATTCCGTCTCAGGAATATCATTCCGTCCTTTTCCCATTGTGGGAAGTTATCATTTTTGAAAACTAAATCACATTGCTATGTTATTTGGTCCTGTATATGATTTTAGACCTGACTTCCTTCGATGACTAAAAAGAAAAAAGAAGAAAGTGTAGTTAACTATATGTTCAGAACTATATAAAGAAGTTATATATCATTTTGTAACTTTTCTGTTTGTTTTTTAATTAATTAAGTAGTTAAATTGTTCAATAATTTATTACACAATAAATATCTCATATTTTTCGAAACACGAGAAGAATCAGTGATGGGATAAAAAGAATAGTTAACCAAAGCTATTTTCAAAATCTACTCCAAATTGTGGAAGCTAACGAAATAAATTAACGCCGAGATCGAACAATTAGTCAAAGAAAGCTATTGTTAAAATTTATCGAAGTGCTCGGAATTTTAGGAAATCTAGAGGAAAAGAGGAAGCTATTAAAGACATTAATATTGTGTTTTTTAAAATTTGCGTTTCTTTAAAAATAGACGCCACATTTATATGACTGAAGATTAAATTATATTTTTCTCGTATTACACGGACGACAGAATTGATAATTTTTTTCTTTTTTTATGATACTTACATTTGTCTTCGTTGCGGTACGACGTATCTTATATCGCAGGAATTACATTCGATGATTCGATTGACTCTCTGTAGATTCGTGGTGTCCTGTGCAGTGCTGGAACTTGTGTAATTTTGATTTTAAAGATATAACAATTAGACACTTAAACAACCACAAGACACTTGACACTTGAACAACAAGACACAAAACTCTTGAAAGACAAGAATTGCTCGTCACTATTATAAATTTCGAAATATCTGAACAGAGCAGAACACGAACAGCTCTTTGCGTCTCAACACTTCGAAATGTTCTAGCAAGAAGGATTCTGTGTCTATTTATACTGATTCTTGTCGCCAATGACTTTTCTCAATCAGAATATATCAATAGGAAAATTTGGGCAAAGTGGGGAAATACAAAAGGGCCATAAAGACGAACCAATCCGGGAAAGGATCCGAAAACTTTCCTTGGTACAGACGACAAGCCTCTACTTTGCACAAGTAGGAGCTGCAGGTTCACAGGTATTTTTCTTGATGAACAAACGAACTTAAATTATGTTTTAAAATAATCAGTGGAGATCAGCATGGAAGTAGACATATTAATAATAAGTAAATTGAATATTGATTTATATACATGAAATTGTTGTAGAAATGTTGAAAAGTACGTGTGAGGATGTTTACCACATCAATGATTAACGTTGTACATATCTTTATTTTATTTCCAATTCTCTTCACATGTGTATGGAAGTAAATACATTGGACGTAAATCACAGCACATCTCCGCCTTGAATAAATATTCATACACTCGCTGTGGTAGTATACACATGTGAAAATACAAATAAACAATGGTAGGTGCGCTTGTTGTCGAGCATATTTCTCTTCCGATGTGCCGCGTACAATTATTTGAGATATATATTTGAAAACACGAGATTCGTTCAATCACACTGTTTCGCAAATGCAATTTAACAACTGATCTTATGTACACACATACATGCACACACACACACAGACCGATATAATAGACTTAACATATCATGCAGTTAAATTATGAGAAAAAGTATGTTTTTATCGTAAACGTTATTATTACTTATAAAGTATTCAAAGAAATGTGAACAATGTGTCAAGTATTCTGTTACTGGAATAGTTTCATGTTAATGACCAGAAACGCATGTGCACGTGTTAAGATTAATATGTCGGTCTGTGAATAATCGAATGCTTTAACGCCGCCTGCTGCGCTCACAGTTATCAATTCTTTTTTATAACACTCACGAAACACATCTTGTCGCTCTCCCTCACACAATTAACAATATATGGTCCAATTTCATTAAGAATTTTTTAAGAATCGATCGTTCGCGCGTGTGTCAGGATATATATCTTCTCGTGAATGCGAGCGAATCGAAAGAATCAGCGCACTCGGTTCTGTGTACAGAGAGCCGGATTCTAAATTTGATATTCACCGAATTGGACGCACATATTTTATTTGGCGATGGCTCGAGTATCACAAAGTGACACACGCTGATATATAAAACAGATATAAAAATGATTAGAAATCGTCTGGATGAGATCTCGATCAGACGTTGATTAATACGGATTCAATGCTCGATCGTTTCTTTGCGCGATAAGACGAAATGAAGTAATTGGCATTGGAGATCTTGCACGGAGGCCTCGCAAGAATCCTTCTCTCTCTGAACGCTTTATATTGAGATTCAAGGGTACCTATGTACACTATATTGTGGCGTGTATATAGATATACAATAATCTTAAACGCAACTAGCTCTTTGATTATCTATCGATGCGTCGAATCGAGTATTAGGCATTGAAGCTTACGGAGAAAATGCGCTAAGGCAATATCACTCCCGAACTAAAATATAAGTAAGTTGTATACGTAATGTACATGTGTGTGCTGATGCGCGTGTGCCTGTGTGTATGTGTACGGTCGTGTTGATGTATATATGTGTGTTCGTGTGTGTTTGTATATGCGTATATATATATATATATATATATATATATATATATTTGTACAAAGATTTTTATACGAAATATTCTCTAAGAATAGTACAAAATATTTTTGAGGAAGATGGCTCCGCGATGACTATCAGAAATAGGAAAGCGATACTTTCATTCGTGCTACTCTAGAAAATTACGCTCGTTATCTGCTACAAACTCTTAGATACTTTTAACTTTGTGTACTCAAGCGGTACAGTATATTTGCGTGAAACAGGATAAAGTCACTAAAGAGCGGCGTGACCTTCTCTCTGCGCGTCATTAGACAAAGATACGCGACGTACGCTGATCTCTATGACTTGTCCTCCGTTGTAAAAAAGCATTGGCATCTAATGTTAACGATTGTTTTAACTTATTCCTAATATATTTTTAAATTTAAATCGCGACTCTCTCTATTATCAATACTTGAAGTATGGTGCGATATACGCGTGAATACGGTATCAGGATATAAAGTTATATCAAATGTGTGTTACATATACAAATTCACAAAATACAAACTGTCCTTGAAATAATTTAGTTAAAGCATGTATGTTTGTCTTGCAAAGAATCGATGATGTATATTCACTTGAAATCCCAATAAGATCCATTGCAGATTTCGTAATATTAACGCGCGCGCGCGCGCGTGAAATTATTCTATTATTGAATATTTTTCTTTTTTAGGGCTCCTGGCTATTCAGCATGCAATTTTTGATTGATAACATTGAAAGCAAAGAAATGCTGAACATTTTTACAAAATATATTGAAATAAATTTTGCTCTAACAATCAATAAATTATCTGTAAAATTAGTAACATGCAATCTTTCTTTTTAACCTACATTTTCTCATTATTCTGTCAATTTTATAATTATTTGATTTATTTGATTGTCAGAGCAAAAAGAAAGTTGGAGAATTTTATTGAGAAAAGAAATAAGAGAAAGTTTGAAGTATTTTACATCTATATTATTTGGACCTATTGTTTTGGATAGAGTGAGTTTTGGACATGTTGTATGGATTAGGGTATATTAACCTGCTGTTTCGATAAATTTATTTCAACTTACTCTCCTTGTAGAAATTTTAGATACGCTTTTGCGATATCTGTTTTTGTTTCCGACGTCATAAATCAAAATAATCAATAGCGGTAAATAGCCAAGAGCCTTAAGTGCCGTAAAAATTAGAAATCCAAAATTCGTTGCGGATTAAAACTAACTTCACGGATATAGATTTGACAAAAGCGAGAAGTTTCATGCCAAAAATCTCGAAGCGAATTACGAATGTTCAATTATATTATTTACAATTCTTTCGTGAAAACTACCTAGAATAGCGTTGCAGTAACATTAGCGTTAATCGTGGTGCTGCGATCAAAAGGTTACAGTGTCAAGGTGACAGTAATACATAGGTGTCTTTGTTTCTCGTATTATATTGACAATACTCTGTGAAGCATGGCTTTGATTATTTAAGAACTAGAAATTGTTTGATGACAGTTTCGAAGGAACATTGAATATCTTCGTAAGTTGTGATCAATATACATACCATAGGGTAACGATTAAGTTTTTTAACCTACATAACGGCGATTATATTAAACTATCTTTCGCTACAATTCTGGATCACAGTAATACTAACGTATCTTTACTTTTCTGGATGGATTTTCATCCATACGGTAGCGTTCGAGTGTAAAATGAATGTACGAGAGAAAGGAGAGGGGAAAGGGAGATGATTTAACATTTTTACGTATTGATGTTATTTACAGAACGTTATAACTAATAAGACGCACTCTGAAGTGTGCATATATGTTATTATTAGTAATGATTAACATACGGTTTCGTTGACTCATGAAAAACTGTGTATATACAACACAACATCAACGTCGAGCACGACGACAGCGACGTCGATACATAATACCACTTTGTGAACAACCAACAGTATTATTTTCAATATTATGCACAATTTCAAATTTACCGGTTATCAGAATCTCTTGTACCAGAATCTCTTTTAAAATTTCTTGCAACACTCGTAGATAGATTTTTCTGCCGCCGTTTATTTTAAAATATTGTGTATAGAGATACTATGTTTTCATAGAGAGAGAGAGAGAGAGAGAGAGAGAGAGAGAGAGAGAGAGAGAGAAAGAGAGAGGGGGGGGAGGGAGAGAGAGAGAGAGAGAGGGAGAAAGAGATATAACATTAAATAATACAAGTCGAGAGAAGCACGCGCTCTTACTTTGCATATTAATTTAATTAATTTGTAAGTTGTAGCTATATAACGGTATTCTATCTCTTTGCAATGATCTTTAATATTTTAATTTTTTCGCAATATGTATTTTAACAGTAAGAACACGTGTTTTTGTAGAGACTCGTAATTTTTACTGATTCCAAACACAACAGCGATTTTAACGTTTTACTGCGTGTTTTGTAGAAATACATCACTTTTCTTGGTAAGTTTTAGTAGGACGTTTTACATCATACCGATAGATTGCTTACGCGTCAATTAAGACCCATGATCTCTCGCCATTGTCATTTTCATTTATGACGTTAGAAGCGAGAATATACATGCCCAAAATTCCTGCAAAGTACGTCTAAATAAAAAAATACATCTAAAAAATAAAAATTAGTATCGATTAAATACAGCTCTAAAATAATTTGAACATTTTCCTTTTATTCTAACAATCAATAAGATAACGTAAAATTAACGTGACATGAAACCTTCCTTTTTACTACATTTCCTCTTTACTTTGTCACGTTGTCAGGAATTTTGAGCATTTCTCGATTCTGACGTCATCAATCAAGAATTCTGCGGCGAGATACCAGGAGCCTTAACTTCCAAAAACGCTTAACGTTCTTTGATGTGGTCAGCTACTCACACAATTTCGATTTATAATATTATGAATTTACACAACTTGTTATCTATGTTAACGTATCGAGTGTTGTCGATGATGATATCGTCGGATCGATGCCAAGGTCGACCGGTAAAGCGCTAAGATAATTTGAAATTTATGATACCTCAACATGTCTCAAGAAGTGAATAATGTTTCTGTCGCTAAATGCAAATTCGACGCGCCAAGTTGGTCAAAGTAGCGCGCTCGTTTTCCCTATCTCTTTTCTCCAACGTCTTCCAAATACGTCGACAGTGTTGAGCATTTGACAATCGCCGCATTCTCCATGCCTGTTGAATGCGCACTGAGGATTACCGTCGATATTACTTGGAAGACTAAATCGAGATCTGGTCTATCACACTTCGCGCGCACACCTCCTTACGTAAAAATAAATTATACTTTCCTTCTAAGTGTCTCAGTCCCTGCGCGGTGTAAACGCCGATTCCTTGCGCGGATTAAAGTTTACCCTGAGTGCATTCGCTTTTGTCGTATCTGAGAAAATCTTTTCTCAAGTTTCCACCCGGCGTTTCGTTGGAAGCGGATGTAGCGTCGATTTGGCGATCGACGATCGTTGATACGTTCACTCATTACTTCGGCTCGAATTACGCGCCTTCTCCAGATCGAGTCTCCGACTAAACTTTATACTCTCCGAAAGGCTGTTTTTGCGGGTCGTTCGCCTCCGATGCGACGGATCTTTTAGGAACGTCTCTTTTGGGGCTGGGACTGGGCGAGGAACTAGGTGATCTTGAGCTGCTGGAGCTGGACCTGGCACGTTGCTTCCGCTCCATCTGAGTCTTATAATCGTGCAATGGACCGCGAATGATTTTCAAGGTAGTTTCTAACTCGTAGGCCCGGTCTTTTAGCGAATTGTACAGGTCAAGATCGAGACCGGCCTTCCGCGCTCTTCTGTGAAGAACTATGAGGTGACGTCTGTTCAATACGTCCGGCAGCATGTATTCCTGCGAACAGATAACACAGAAGTAGCTTATTATCGCGATAAAAAGTCCCGCGAATGTATACTGCGGAACCAACCTGTTTAGTCACGAGATAATAGATGAACCACGTCATAGTAGTGCCGTAAGTGACGAAGTATGTGACGGGTTCCATTATGTCCCATGAGTATTCCCACCAGGTTAATCTGGCCAAACCGCCGAATTGAATAGACATCATGACTAGAAACGTCCAGATGAAGAAATTCGCCCTCCTGTAAGCGGCGTTCTCTATGTCTAACAGTTGCTGAAAAGATCGAAGGAAAGCATCAGTTGATTTACGTCGCGAAATACTACTTTACTTTCAGCTCTACGTACTCATTTTGCATTTTGCAGAGTATATGTTAAGTGTAGTTAAATATAGTAATGAGAAAACGAGGAAACTGAAACGCCGCGTTTCATCTTCAGTTTCACAAAGAGACAAAGATAAAAGAGAGAGAAAAAAGATAAAGAAACAGAACGCGCACAAGGAATATTTTAAAGAAACTCTTCCTCTCTCGTATGCGTTGTATAACCGTGTTGTATACGACGAACGGCAATGCGCACAAAGGCGGGATTAGAAAAATATCGCTTCTCCTTTTGCCACGAGTGCGCTAATTAGAACGCACGAGAGTACGGCAATTAAGAAGAGTAGTCGCAAAGTCGTATCCCGGGGATAAAGCAAGAGGAGGGCGGACAATAGAAGCGTGTGTGTGCGCGCGCGTGCATTTAGTGCGATTTACGTGCGCTCGTGATGGGAAACTGACGTACATCTCGTTTAATTATCATAAAATCAATTAACAAATGCAATGAAATTGCTATTTCGCAGCGTGTCTCTCTTTCTGCTGTGAGCGCAGAAAGTGTTGCGCAAGCCATATGTCGCAATGCGCATCCGAGATAATGTGGAAACTGGAAGCGGCAGCTGAACTGTTTGAAATGTTTTTTTTTTACCTGCTCGAGGGGTTCTAACCGCAATCTAACATCCTCTAGCTCGGCAATGACTGCTCTCTCCATATCGGCACTATATTCGCGCACGTGAAACGACTCATACAATTGGTTGACGAGCGCTTGCACGTCCGAGAGTTTCTGCAGGTTCTCCTGTAAAAATGAGATGTGTTTGTCGATATTTGTAGAATAGAACTCGAGAGGATAAGAGTGCGAGCAAACGAACCGAAACACTCCAAAAATAGTCTTGCAGTCACAGCGAAAATTGTCTAGATACAAGAAATTGGCTAAGATGGATAAATGACCAGCAAACACTGCAATATCGCGATATATATTGTACTTAGCCAATACAGATGACAGAGACAAAAGTTCTGTCTGAAATATCTGTGAAATTTAGCCAAAAAGTCTCTTTTCCTTCTAGATAAAAGCCAGTCATACTTTATATAAAAATCGACTGATAGACAAAAAATACTAGCGACGAGAGACAACGGATGTGGGTCCTCACATCCATTGAAATTTGCCAGCAGATATTGCTAGAATTCTACTGTTGCAAATTCTACATATCACAGATCTTTTCTAGAACATTATTTTTCTAGACAATTTTCTAGGTAATACGGAACACAGCGATACATTTCAACTGTGATATTTAGAATCCTATTTGGACCAGCAAAACATTTTTTTTGAGTGAATGACGATACCGAAGTATCGTCGACGAGAACGAGAATTACAATCTATTGAAATAATATTAGTTTCAATATTCTGCTCGATCGAGATCGTCATAGGAGGATAACGCCGGTGGAAAATTCGTTTTCACGTGATAACTCACTATCGTGCACCTTTCTTGCAACGGCGGCGCAACGACGTATTCGTTATCGTTTATTATTAATTTGAAGTCCTCTTCTAAAAGTGACTCTATCGTGTTACTGGAAGCTATCCTGACACCATCTGAAAGAGAGAAGGACGTTGAAAATTTTTATCTCGCGTCGCTTGCTGCGCAAAAATCGCGAAAATCTGTCTGACTTGCGACGCATGTCGATGTCTACGACGCTTCAAATATTTACTGTCGCGAGAGAGAGATGACTTATTTTATCTGATTTAAATCAAAATCTAAAAGTTGACGGACTCATTGGAAATGTGAAGTTTCCGGAATAAGATTATCGATGGGTGTGAAAAGGATAGATCTCGTAGAAATTTTCAATTTGACAATATTTTTAATTTTTAACTTCGTTAAAATTCTGTTTCTATAAAAACCTTTGCATTTTTCCAATTTTTAATTTGATTAGTCATATATTTACAATTTTTAAATCATTGCATCTTAGCAGTTTTAATCACCGTCTTGTAAAGAAATCCCGAGTCGAAATTTTGGCTTTATGTTAAACTTTAAATATTAAACGTAGTAAGAACTAAATTAGCAAAATAGATTTAATTTTAATGATACAATTTACCTCTTGACACAATTTACTTGATACAATTTATTTTGACTCTGATGATGTTCGAAATTTTCTTTTTTACTTTTTTTAGTACTTTCTTTTTTTCCAAAATAGATTTAATTATAGACTTCAGAATATCAAAATGGGTGCTGAGAGAATGTAATAGTCAGACTGAAAGTAGAATCAAAATTTCGTCTCGGATAGATTAAATAGAATCAAAAGAGATTGATATAGGATTTAGAGCATCAAAATAGATGTTGAATGAAATAGTAAAGCTGAAAGTAGGATCAAAATTTCAACTCGGAATATTTATAATATACCGTTACAGTTATAGAGAGACTATAATTGTAATATTGAATGAAAATTTACGGATTTATATAAAAAGAGAGTTCGTTTTCAGATATCGTTTAAGCGGGTTTGCGAAATCTTTCTCTCTGTCGGCGACAAGCGAAAATTTTCTACTATGCTGCTGTCAAAATGTTTGATGATGGTCGATGAAATTTGGCTATCTCCACGCAATCACTGATTACCTTGACTTGTAGAAAATCCATTAGGTTCGTGAGAAAATACATATCACGCTCGCGAAAATGGACTTGCGCTTGTGCCGAGAAGATTCGTTAAATGAATTCTAAGTAACGTCTCACCTAACGATGTTATGCATGCTCGATCGATGCCGCGATCCTCCGTCTTTAGCATGTCCAACAAATTGCCGACAGTATGCGTGATCGGCTTCATAGTGAACGAGCAATGTTCCTTCCTGGATGGAAGAGGCACCGTAATCCTGGGAAGCCCTCGGTGGTACGCCACAGTGACACCCGCACCTACATTAATACGCATTTATGCAATGTGCTCTTGCCTCGGACAATTCGAATGTTCGAGTAATATCAAGAATATTAATTACCGCTTGTGTATACGGAGATCGTTAAAATTATAACGTAGTCAGAACGGAACATAACGTTCCGACGCGGCAACGGAAACGTGCGAATACGCGCAATTACAAAAGCACGCGTCGAACATTAATTACACGCTACATGTTTTATTCGTGTCGTATATTATATGTACACGCGATTCTATATATACTATACACAGAGACGTCTCAAAGTAACTGGACACCGTAATTTTTGTTTAAACAGTCATTTGTCTCACTCCATCAAGTTGACGTAAATAAATGACTATTGACAAAATTCACGGTGTCTATTCACTTTCGAGAGGTATCTCTGTACATAAATTATAAGTTCAACAATCTATCTCTCTTCATGATAAATTCTGGATGAGGCAAATTATGGTGAAGCAAGTCGTTTAAACGACTTCATTTCTTGATAAAGAAAACTTGTTTCTCTTAACTCACTGCTCTGACAAAGGTGTAAATTAAGCTATAAAGTGAAGATCTAACTTATTATCTATCTTAATGAAGATGACGTCCTATTCAGATTACACGATAACGTAACAAGTTCTACATTAAATCTCGCTCGACCGCTCTTCGTTGAATCTGCTCTACCGATCACCTTCAAACACATCTTCAGCCATTGAAAAATGCATTTTCAGCATATCCGAAACTAGAAAAGAAGGAAGAGCCAGCAAGGTGCATCGTTTCCGCGACTCCGTTCGCGTGATAATCGCGCAATCGAGAGCTAGACTATATTAACCTGGTTACGAGCCGTTGATATGAGGAAGGTATTAGAGTGTGGAGAACGGAATGAGACGACGACCGGCGATCTTTCCGCTGTAAGCAGAACGGAACCGAGCCTTAATCCGCTTTGCGCTAACGACCTCTGAAAATGCATCTTCGGACAAACGAGCCATTCTCATCAATTTTCCGAGATTGTCGCTCGAAACGCTAGATCGACAGGGAAATTGCAAATTTGACTGTAACTTCTTGCCTTCGAAATTCTCCTCCGAAACAAACAATAGTGCCGCAGACGAGATGATGAGAAACAAAATGTATACCTGTCTATACGTTACAAGTGTGTAAAACAAGTTTTGTTATTTTTATACATTTTCTAAATTTCTTTAAGATGTCTATAATAAATTTAAGAAATACTTTTCATTTTTATGCTGTCGAAGTACATATTCTGAAATATGTTTGGACGTTAGAATGGTCTAAAACAAATTCTATTATTTTGTATCTTTTTCAAGCTTCTCTAAGATATCTATAAATGCATTTAAAAAAAGTATTTTTCACTTTTGTACTGTCGATATATATCCTTATATAAGAGAAATTTGTTTTTCTTTTTATTTGAAAGAGTCATTACAATACGCTAAAAAAATTATGAAAAAAGGGTTTGTTGGAGGTCGAAGGACTTTCCAAATAATATTGTGAATGATCTTGACGATTTGTACGATTTCACGGGATTTAAACCATTACGGAAAATGAGATGTTAAGTTGAATATTTCGAGTCCCTTTCAACACGACTGTTGTCGTCCGTTTTGGTTACAATCCTTAGTGGTCACTTTGGACAACAAAGCTTTGAAACAGTTGGAAGCGCAACAAGTCTATCACGCGTTTCAAACGACCTGCCGAAAAAACACCCAGCGGCGACCGACGACAACTATCATCTAACGTTACGCGCGTTACACCGCGACAAGGATGGAAATTCGATGCCGCACAGTAATTGCGCGTTCTTTAAACGAAACAGGCAACGTCCGACAATTAGTACGTTCCCCACGCCACACACGACACACGATGCACAGCGTTCCGTCCGCGTGCATCGCCCGGCAGGCAGGTAGGTAGGTTAGCACAGGTGGAAGTGGCAAGAAATCTACCACCACTCGAAGGCCGCCTCCCTTCTTCCATCGTCATGGAAACTCTGCGGTGGTGAAGTTTTCTGTGTCGTGGCGCAGTCTATTGTAAGATCCTGCTCAATTAATAAGTGACGTGACTGCGCCAGACGTGCTCGTTGTTTCTTTGGTTGTTCTTCTCCTTTCCTCAACCTTGTGACAGTCCCTCGGATGACAGTAGAATTTCGTGAAACGTTTTTACCTGAACGTCAGGGATGCACGCGTGACTGAAAACCTGAATGGCGTAACACTGTATATGGCATCCTGCGGAACCTTTATGAGGATTCTAATGGTCGCACGGGGTTAATCCGCCAAGTGATTGACTGAAAGTAAGTCCGTTTGTGTCATTTCACGAGTATAGATTATTATGTGCGGATGCTATATAAAACGCCACTAGAACAAATATCCAGAAATTGTGCTTTTACTTTACAACCGTGAAATTCGGATGTTCTTTTCTTTCTTTGACTTTTGTTTAATCACATGTCATTCTAAATAGTTCAAAATATTTTGGATCATAGTGAACTGTACACGAACGCGAGGAAAAAGAGTGGGATAGGGTGAAGAAAATGTATGCTGAAAATAGCTTCACGCTGTATACAATATTTAACCCTTAAGCGGGCGTGCGCGATACTGAGTGTTGTATTGCAAATTTATAATTTATTTTTGTCATAAAATTGTAATAAAAAATTTTAAATACGCCATAAAAGAAAGTAAAATATATTTGTCAAAAGATGTAACATTAGAATTTTGTACATTTCTAAATTTATGTTACATAAACTTGTGACCACGGCCGTAACTAGATAACTAAAAATATTTAAAATTGTTTAAATAGGGATATATCAATATAAAAATATGAAAATATAATAATAGTAACATATAACGAACCTTTCAGAATATTGGAGACTAACAGTACGAAGTACCGTAAAACGTGACTTATTGCATTGAGAGTTGACTAATAGCCGTATCACACTAGCGACTGCGGCTGCGGCTGCGATTGTCTCTTGACCAATGAGAAAAGCGGTAGTAGCTAGCAGCTTCTTTCTGACTGGTCAAAAGACATAATCGCAGCCACAGCCGCAGTCGCGAGTCGCTAGTGTGATACGACTATAACGCGTGAGTGACTTCTTCATGAAAAAAAATAATATATGTTAAAAAATATCGTAAAATATGTTGAAGAATACCGTAAGAATATGTTGAAGAAAGCCTGTAATAGGAGAGCACGTCGTAAGTAATCTTTCAGAAAAATCAATCAATAGAATACTGCTGCGCGCCCGCTTAAGGGTTAATAAGACATCTTTAATCAGACATAACGATGTTCGTTACAATGTAATGTTGAACGGAAATAAGATGTTTAACAAAATGTTACATGTCACGCCAAGGAACGATAAGCGCGACCGGTCGAACGGCCGATTTCACCTGTTTTAGTCAATGCAAAAATTCGCACGGGCAGTTTGCGCTTGCAAAACTCTAAGAAAGTTCCGCGTGCATGCTGTTCTATTCTCTTCGGAATTGCCGTGCAACTTTCGACAGAAATCAAATTGTGAGCAGATTTACACGCGCTGATGATCGCGCCGAGAAAGTCCTCGAAGTGCTGACACGTGGTGAAATATTTCACCGGGCCGGACGGAGGACGGTGTTCTCGCGCAATTAATAAGCGTCGTGTACAGAGCTAAATTATCCCTTGGGAAATCCAGTTACCTGTTTCCATCGAGCGCGCCTTCGTAGTCTTCGGCCGAGCGGCTTATTCGCGTATCATGCATCTCGCGCGTCACCGATAAAGAAGTCCCGTGAAAATTGAACGGTCGGAGGGGGGAGGGAGGGGGAGCAGTCTAACTGGCGTCTCGCGTGCAATAGCCGCATTTGATATACCGAGCATGCCGCAGACTCATTCTCTCTCCTGAAGGTTACGTCATAGTCTACTTCGTCGGGACTTATAATCAACGGCGCTAACGATACCTCAATGTCCTATATAAATAGAAGTTTCCATAAATAATTCGAACGAGCGCGCCTCGAGGTCAATATATAGACCGAATTCTATTTTATCTATTTACTGCCCCATAAACGATATTTTCTTCCGCACGAAAAACATCGAGGTTTAATTTAAAGTTTCGCGGAGGCGCTCGTTATCAAATTAGTTTTCCGAACAACTCGAGATATTTGACTTGAAGAAAGAGTTAAGTTTTCTTTTTCGTGAAAAAACCTCAATTTTTCATCGTTCTTCCTTCTCTCTTCGTAGGTTGATGAAAAAAAACAATATATGTTAAAAAATATCGTAGAATATGTTGAAGAATACATTTTATTAATTTTATTGAATTGATTTGAATTGGCGTTCGATCTTGATTTCTCGATTTTTCTGGTGTACTTAAACGCAGATTTTATGGGATATAGATATACCGGGTATTTATTATAGTTAAGTTTTAATTGAAAATAATCGCACACAAACGAACTTTGCGCGGGCAATAGCTAAATTTCTTTTTTTGCAAATGAAAGATTAGGAACCCTATAGTACACAGTAAGTTTTATGGCTTTAGGATACTTCGTAGAGGAAAGCATGTGTGAGGAAAACAGGTAGGCAGCCTCGTACGTGATCACTCAGCTAAATATTGCACCGTCCCGTCCTGTCTGTATACTTCATATGATCTCATGTACACGTGAGCGACAGGTTACACGGTGAAAATATTCTTTTTGTCATAAATTCTCTTTAACTTTATAGTGTTTTTAGTAATTCAGGAATAAACTGTATTAGAGTAAGGTATATCTTGCTAAGGGACATTTAAGTAAGTTTCACTGAAAACAGCAAATATTTTAGCAAAGTCTTTTTCAGTTCCTAAAAAAATATAAGTAGCGCTAGTAAAAATTAGGGAAGAACATCAATCTTTTCCTCGCGATTACAAAGTTCTATAGTAACTTTTACTTTAAGATTCTCTCCGTATAAAATATCTCGAGAGTTTATGGAGTTAAATTGTTCGAAAGAGAATCTCGTTTATCAAATATTTGTTCTGCAAAATTCTTATACTTGCTTTTAACCGGATGATAAATACTTGCTTCTAACCGGATGATAAATCGCGCAATATTAAACGGTCATCTTGAATCAAATGAAATGCAAATGACTGCTTGTCACACCCACGTCGTACGGTTAGAACGTTTTAATGTCAAATAAAATGTTCATGAGATGGTTTAGTAATAAGTTTCGCTTATAAATAATTGAGCAACGAGAGTCTCCTCCCTTTCTCTCTTCCCCTTGTGAACTGATTTTACATTAACAATCGCTAGGTCTGTACCTAACGGCCAGACCTTTTCCGGATAAAAATAACGTTGGAACACCTCTCGGTTCGCAATGAATGATCGTGGCTGCCGCTGCCTTCAATTTATATGCCGCTACATCGATTTTACTCTCGAGGAAGGTACGGTGGTGACATCTAGTTGTGACTGTTCGTACCAGCAACGGGCCGACTGAAATTCAGGCGCGTGTAACACGCATGGGAGCTGTAATACATGCATCCGACCCCACATTTTATTCAAGTTGCTTTGAGCTGCTGACCATAAAAAAAATCTTATTTTCGTAGTCTACTCTACTCTTTGATCTGGATACACGAGGTGCGTGCATACCGCAAATAAATCCACTTCCGCGAAATTTCGTGCGTGCTTGGTCTCCCGGCAAAATTGGATAATTCAATTACTCCGTAGTTAAACGCCGAGCTCGGAATATGTTGAAAATGAGGTTGACAACGTGCCCCTGAATGGTGCGTTTTACGTTGTTACATACGCGACGGGGGCATCATTAGATTGTTAAACAGCGCAGAAAAAGAATCGGATTACATCATTGTTTCGATATGCCGCTTTGTTCGAAGGCACATACACACACACATGGTGATACGCGATATATCAAACACGCGCATTATCTACGTGCTCGCGTGTTACAAATAACAGTACGATCGCCTCCGTTTTGTCGCTCGCGACAGGAAAACCAGACTCGACCAGAAAACTAAACTCGTCATAGAGGTCTTGACGTAAATTAACGAGAGACTCGAGGCTCTACTAATCAGGCCGTAAGAGAACAAGCTCGTGTGTATATTTATTCCACGGTAATTGTAGCTTTGAATCTTTTATAGGGAAAGTTCTCGCTGCGCGCAAGTGGCGGCCGCTCTCTTGTTGCAATTCTGAATGTATCATGAATAATATCGCACTTTTCGCGCGGACGCGCGCACATCGACCTGTGCAACTTTTATTAGCGCTCGTATAACGACTCTGAACTGATCTACGCGAGTCGATCGGGTATTTTCATCGCTTTCAGACTTTCACGCTTTGTCATAGGTTACCGTTCGCCGCTGGCTCGAGCTGATACGTTTATGTTTAGACTGAAAACCGCATATGTTTACAATAGAAACAAGCGATCGATTACATGTAAATAATAAATAATTAGTACTGTTACGCCGAGAGACGTAGTAGACGGTGTAACAGTTGGCTTTGTGTACTTTGTGAGAATTATTATTTTAAAACAGCTTGTTTCTTAAACAGAGAAATATGTATTCTGTAAGGAAGTCACGCATCACGGTAGCTTCCCGTTTTATCTTCCTCTCTCTCTCTTTCTCTCTCTCTCTCTGCTTTAATAAATAAAACATCTCCCTCTCTATCTCTCTCTCTCTCTCTCTCTCTCTCTCTCTCTCTCTCTCTCTCTCTCTCTTTTTTTCTTTCTTTTTCTCTTCTTTGACCATCTGTGAAATATTTAAGAATGATATATTAGGTTACAATGCTACGTTCTCCACGTTGTATTGTTATTAAATGTGAATTTGTAACAGGTCTCCGTTTGGTCGACTATGGGCGGTGTGCAAAGCGGAACTCATAATCTTGGCGAGGCGTTATGGGTGCAGGAGCGGCAGCGGCAGAAGTGCCATCGGTGAGTAGCGGGTTTCTTAATAATATACGAACAGCGCAAGAGGTACATTTCGTACGCGAGATGGGCGATCGATACGTGAAACAACCTTCGATATGACCCGTTTATATTTGATCCTCTAATGTCACTCTCGAGAGCAATATGATCTTATCTACAGCTGAAAATTGCAACGTTTTTCTTTGATAAATTTCGCGGCGCATCCCGTATTTGATACATCGAGAGAAAGAAATAATCAATCTAATAAAAATTGCAGTTATTTTTGGCTCTAGTCACACATTTTATAGTAAGATGGTAGTAGTAACATGCATGTAAATTCATTATTGCTAATATTATAGGAAAATTTAAGAAAAAAGATAGTTTTCTTGACCATAATTTATAGTGATTATTTTTTTCTATGATTATAGTTACAAATATCAAATATCTTTTTTTCAGTGCAGGAGATAATTTGTTTTTGAATAATTTTTTGAAAATATATTCTTCTGGTCGATACAAAATGCGTTGCAAAATTTGATGAGGAAAAGTGTTGCAATCGTTTGGCTATACCTTATTCTCTACACTCAAAGAAAAACATGGTAGTCGTAAATATATAGATAATAATATCAGTTTTGTATGTAGAATTATAATATATATATAGTTTATTAAATTTTATAATTAATTCTACATATAAAGCTCGTATACTTGCAACTTATATAGTTGCCATTACCACGTCTTTGCCTCTGAGTGTGTGTGATCCAGTTTTTATTATCACGTACTGAGAGAAAGAAATGGTTGATATAAGAATTATAATTATATTTAGTTCCGTATTTTTTGTAGGAAAATAGTAGCAGTAACTTGCATGTTATTGCTAACATTTTTACAGTAAAATTTAATAAAAGGAATTGTTTCCTTGATCATAATTTAGAGTAATTATTCTTCTATGTGATAATTGCAAATTGTATATCAAACATTTTTTCTCAGTGTAGCGTCAATTCTTTGATCAATGTTTGCAGTTTACACATTAGAATTCCTCAGACAGTTAGTATTTTTTGGGCACTGATCCAACACGGCAGATAAAGGAGTCATTGAATCCCGCGCTGCACGGGCGCCGTTAATTACTTGCAGAGACTGCGATCTCGCCGAGTAATCTCAAAGAACGATGAAGATGCCTTAAATGGCACCACGGCTAGAGCGTTTCTCCAGCCGGGCCGCTGCCGCCTAGCTAATTATTCAAGCGTCAGAAAGTTCGAGTAATTACGGGATGATCTTTTGCGAAAGTCGCGGAATTAAGTCCCGATTTGTTCACATTCAGCGAGATTTCTTTTACTCAGTCGTGATAATTACACGGTTGAGCCGTTCGTTCGCGTACGACGTCGCGATACATTCGGCACACGCGACAGACGCGGTTTCCTTTCACGAGCCGTCTCTTCTCCGTGCTCGCAGAAACCGAAATAAAACAGACAGCCGGGGCAAGGTTAGCGTGAATATTTTAAAAGTCGGGATCTTCGTGGAATTTCGCGCATATACTCGCGCTGCGCCTCGACCCTCCCTTGTTCACCGTAAGCGTCGACTATCCGGCTTTGAGAATCACGAGTCCCGTTTATCTCACGGGCTCCCGAGACGATGCGTCGCGATTAGTGGTGGTTAATAGTTAATTACCGCCGTATTGCTACGGTCAGGCAACGCTTATTAACACGGTTGTGGTCTAATTACGTCCATGCTCGCGCCAAGTGCGGCCAGAAAACGGTGAGCAGCCGTTTTATTTCGAGAGCAGCGGAGCAACGCTTTTCATTTCTTCTCTCATATTTCTTTATACACGCGCGGCGAAATTTTGCAATATCGTCCGATTACGCGTGATTATTCGCCGATTGTTCTGCGCGAGCTGTTCTAATTAGATCCTATTGCTAAATTCCAATGTGAGCGCGTTATCTGGAATATCCAACAAACGGGCACATCCGACAAATGGCAGTAGTTGCTCAAGAATGACCATATAAAGTATGTTTCGAAAAAAATGAGGATGAAAATCTGAGACGTGACGTAAAAGATATTACTGAAGTTCTTCGCAATCGAGAAGTCAATCAATTTTCTCCTTTTTAAAGATATTTATTGACAAGTTTAACGATTAAAAAAAGTGTAGTTAGCAGATACGAAGCTGATACGATAAAAGTACCAGTGCCAAAACGCTATACACACGCACACATATATATAATAACACTGGACATTCTTTTAATTTTTAATTTTTTTAAATATTTGTATTTAATTAAAAATTAAAATATTTTAGCTTCTACATATAGAACATATGTATGTATTCAATATATGCATGTATATTCTATATTGAAAATTTTGAAATATTCGTAATTAAAGACCAAAATAACAAGAACGTTCAGTATTGAGTACCGGTGGGCATTGGCACATTTACCTTACGATCGCTGTCTCGAACGACAATTTCCCAAACGTATTTCGGTCACTTCGTCACGATGGATCGTGCAAATTCGAGCACGGTACGTCTCAGTGGCTTCAGCGACAAAATTCATTTGCCGGGGTTAAACCGGTCCGGCTGTTTCCCAAGCGAAACTCAAACATGAGTCGCGTTACCAGATCGCCGTATTTACGCGATACGGAATGAGATTTCCGTTAAGGTATGAGTTAACACGTGACGTGTACAACGTGTCGATGCAGTCGCGACGTTGCATCGCGCACACGGCTCTATACGATGTTATGTTATAATCCCGGGGAATATACTTCGGTGTCAGCGTCATCAATATTATTTTCATCATCGCGACTGTTTGCAGTATCGAGCATATTTCCGAATGAATACGCTCACGTAATATCGAGGTATTAATTATTAACGAGAGAACGCTACTTGATTACGATGCACTCGGTATTGCGCGGTGCATCGAATAGCGCTTGCGCGCAATAGCCGCGATAATTAATTTCGAGCCGATTACGTTGTATTTCGCTTAACGGATGACGCTGCTCGTCGGAGGGGCGGTCGGAGGGGCGCAGGGGCGATCGTTTCGTTGTAGTGGGATCGTACACAATTTCGGATGAGAAAGAAGAAAAAAATTCGCGCGATACCGCAGTATCGTTAATTAGCGCAAAACCCGCGCGGCATTGCGTTGTAACGTGATCGTAGTAGCGGAACGCCGGATATCCGTCTACGCGTCCGAATGTCTCTCTTTCTTTCTCCCATCTCTCTTCCTCTCTTCCCCTCTCTTTCTCTCTGTGTCCCATCCTCTCTCCGTTTCATCCACAGCACGCACGCACCTGTACGGAGACAAAGGGCTTTAACAAACCACGTGTGTCTCCTGTACATCGAAAATCACTGGTCGGGAGGGTCGACAGCGAAAGCGAAGCGTCAGTGCGAAGTGCCGCGGCGACTCGACCGCTGAAAAAAAGTGGCGGACGCGAACGCGACGCGATGTACGTCGTCAAGATCGTCTATTGCCAGGTGACGATGGAGTTCGTCGACCGCGATCTCGGGACGTCAAGGTAGATCACAGTGGATCGATATAGTCCGTGCTGAAAAGGCCGTATACACATAAAATTGTGACATTTCCGTGGTCAATTCGACGAAAGAAATCATGAAAATCTCGTTGATCTCGTTCATCAAATCTCGCGCGTTTTCATTCTGTTTAACGACCTATTTGTCAAAATTCGTCGGGACAGGAATGATCGACAAATACGTTCGATATTCTTTTTCATGCGGCCTCCTCAGCAACTGGCTCCTCGGTTTTGTTGCACGTTGCGTCACCGTATCTGTAACGATACATCAGCTTGTTGAATTAATGGGGAAGTTTAGTTAACGGTCTATCGCGTAAAGCATGCGGAATCATCTTCACGGCTGTCAGTTTTGATAATTTATAACCGTGCTGAATTACAAACTACATTCCGCACATTGTCGCACATGGATTAACTTTTCGCACTGATCGCATCATTGCGCTGTTTGCGTTACGTGGAGTAATTATGAAAAATCTTCATAGATGCTTCTCATTTAATTTCTATATCAAAAATTGCCGATCTTTCTAATGACTGAAGCGACAAGTTTCTTTGAATCTTTACCCGGAGAATATTCGATTCTAATTGACAAACAACCCATTTTAATTAATAATTAATTTGAAATGAGTGAGAAATTAATCGAATTGAAGATCAAGGGAAATCACATAAAAATCTGAAATTCAGTGAATTTCGGATTAATGGAGCGCGGCGTGTGATGGAGGACAGTCGAGGGAATTCGATTATCCGAGCCCACCGTTACCCGTAACCAGCAGACATGTCGCGGAAAGTTAAATGAAGATTCATACTGATGACTCGACGTTTGGCTTCTGCAATGACCAATGGTGGCTCGTTCGCTTCGTAACGAACTCGGTTCTCCACTAGAGAGAAGCCGAGATTGCGTTGTATTTCGCTCTCGCGAAGATATCGCCAGGTTACCCGACAGCGGCGTTATCGTTACTCGTCCTGGTTTTCTTTTTTTGCCTTATTGCGCACCTTCGTTAGATCTCGTCTGCGGAATGGAAGGGAATGGAACAGTATAGCACGGAGCGAGATGTGTCTATCTAGTTAACGCGACGTGATCGGATTAGCGCCGCGATGCGCCGAGGTACACGCAATTTCGCGATCATCGAGAAACAGACTGCCGTGTAATCCCGAGTTACGATCCACAACAGAGATGTTCGTTCTACGGCGCGTTCTACGCTGCTGCGATCCTTCTCTCCTCGCAGACGAGATTCGTGATATTCGAGTCGCGTAAAAAAACCCAAGATACAATTCCGACGAACATTACTGAGCGGAGTAACGTCGATCGACCTAATGAGAGAATCGAGCTCCCATTAGGAGTCTTATCAGTGCACATATATAGGATCTTGTCTGTGAGAACAGGAGCGTGTTCCCCATTGTATCGCTTCCTGTCGTTTCGCGGCCTCGTTTTCTGACCTTACACGCGCGGCAACGAGGAAAAGTCGCGGAATAATCGGCCCCACTTTCCGTCTTGTTTGACAGAAAGCGCCAACGCCCTGAGAGAAAAA